GGAAAACGTGAAAGTGTAAGAAGGGAGGCGTCAGCAGTAGCATGTTTTCGATTACCCGCCCTGCTGTATGCAGCAAGTAAGGCGACCCGGCTGATGTCACCACGCGACGGCCGATGTGGCATGAGTTTATTTGTGTATGTGCGGTTCATCGTTGTACGTGGGCTGGGATACTGCCAGGGCGCCCACACCTAGACAGGAGGACGATTAGGGTCCTCATCCAAAGCCTTCGGCTCAAAAGCCTAACCGCAAGGCAGCGGTGTTCGACTGGAAATGCAAGTACATTGCCCTTTTTTACGGAACACGTCGCATACATGTTCCAACCCCCAACCTGGAGGGCCAGGAGACTGTGTTCGTCGGACCTCTACCCATGGACCAACCTGGTATGAGAGACTCTGTGAGCATCGTGCGGACACTCTCCAGTATAGCTCAATGGGTCGTCGAGGTACACAAACCGCCACACCACGGTAAGGTCCAGTCTCTTCGTGGCGGGCTTTAGCAAACAACCAAGTATGATTCTGGCATACCGGAAGCAACTGACAATTGCGGAAAAGTGTCCGATACCATTTGCAAGAGGAATCTCGTGGCGTTGGCTTACTTTCCAGGAATTCACGGTTAAACTTCATAACTAGGAAATATGTAACCAACCTGAGAATAGCAAACTCATTACTCCGGGTCTGCGCGACCAGCCATTGGCTAGGCTTTCTCCCAACCCTGATAACAGACTAATATATAACCCCAAAGTGAAATGTAAACATGGTTAGGTATTGATTTGCCGCGACCGTATCCACCCTGATAGTTGCATGACCGTGCACTCCACTCACTGGAAACTGTCAGCTGGAACTTTAAGTTAGCGATGTTGCACGCGTTGAGAGAAGTTAAACACCAAACTGAGGGAGTCATACCACGCCAAGGTCGGCTACGCTAGCGTTTGAACACCACGCTATACGATAGCAGTGTACCGAATGGAACGAAAACACAAACCGTAGACTTAATTACGTTTTGATATTTGAGCCACAAAGCCAGCAAGTCCAATGAAAAGATTTCCGTTGTTTCATTTCAATATATTTTGCGTTGCTAATCTCGGACGACGGTCGAGAATGGAAGCGAATATCATAAACTCCGGTAAAAGAATCGTAATATACAATAACAACCATATTATTTTATTGAACAGATTGCAAACATCGTGCGAAGCTTCCAATACACAGTAGGCACTGTCTAGTGAGCATTTTGTCTAATATGGAGATCCCTCGACTGACACCCAAGGTCGGAAGTCACCTGGTCCATCTAAGACTGTCCAAAAAACCATAAACATACAAACTTCGGAGTCACCTGATCAAGCAGAACTGTTGCCATGTCTGGAGTTTCTTACATTTCGATTTCCGACAAAGCTCTGGGAGAACCTGTTTGTCCCGTCCCCTCCGCCGGTCTAAATAATGACCTACAACTTCTTCGGTACCATCAGAATGCACTCTCATCCCTTGATATGTCACGGAATAGTTAAATACATTTCCGAACTCACCTTCGCTTACCTTCCAAATGGAATACCTGTGAATACCGCATGGTGATATTCGCCCCAAATTCACCCACAATTATGCTATGTTGAGACGCTTCATTCCTTTTACTCACCTCTTTACAACATTCAGTCAATTAACCCGAGTTGGTGTTCACGTGTATGCTCCTACCTGACTCGACATAATGTGCGTTCCCAAGTATTTTGAGTTTGGATATATTTTGCATCTTTAAATGGATATCCAACCATGGGTACCCATGGTAACCCCCTAATTCGATAATGGAAAAAATAACGTAACAAGCCTACGTGTTGTGCTACTGGCGTGCTCACATGTTGGCGATTTCATAGCGGCATCAAAGTTGCTTCCGCCAAAGTAGTTCACAGGGTCAAAGAAGTGTG